GCTTAGACAGGACTTAATGGACTTTCTTGTATTAATTTTCTGTTATATATACAAGTTTTGTAAAACTTTAAACTTGTTTTGTATCTCTTTCGTAAGCTTATGTTTTGAGACTGTAGTCAGATGTAATGTTTTATGTAAATGAACTTTTGGTTTTTCGTATATGCGTTTGATCACGATATTACCATTATAGATGCTTGTGGTGACTGTTGTGGGATAGGGTTAACCTTTAGTATGGCTCACAAATGAGTTTAGAAATTGCAGGACTTTAGAAATTTAGAATCCGTATTTCAGTTTTCGGATTTGGTATGATGTGTTCCCTAATAGTTTAGAATTGGGAATGACTGTAGTGACAGTAGATAACGTTGGGTTCAAGTAAGGACCCAGATACGATTCTGACCCCTGGGTTTGGGTTGTTACAAAATTGGTATCAGAGCGTTAGGTTCGAAAACCTACGGACGACGGGTATGGTTGACCTAGAGGAGTTAGAATTGAGTTTGACGGTGTTGCATATTTATGTGGTTATTACTTGTTTAAATTGAAAGAATGATTTATCATTATGTGCTTACATGTGATTTGATTTCTAAATTCATGAACTAGTAAATAAAATAAAACATGTTAAATGATAAACGTAATTATTGTTATTAAGTTTATCATTTGGTGAATGTGAAAGCATGCTTGTTTGCTAAATGCTTACGTGAAATTATTTATGTGATTAATAAAATGATTAAATTTGTTTAAAGCATGCCTAATATGTTAAATGTTTATGTATAACTGATTACATGATTAAGTTTGCTTGATACATGCTTGATTCGTTACGTGTTTACCTGTTAGTTGTTTATTGTAGATGAAAGTATGCTTAATTGACTGTGTACCTAATTGTTAAGTGTTTACTATTTATGAGAGCATATACTAAATAATGTGATGACGTTTGTTTGAGCATGATAAATATAATTTTGTTTTAGGACGTTGTTGCATGTTTAGGTCTGCATGTGGTCATTCATTCACCAGGGAGTGGATGTAGGCGTAACTTGTTTGTTTCATTGTTGACGGGTTTGAGTGTTAGTAACAGTGCTGTGTGTTGGGTTACGACGGGTTCTGACCCATGTATGTGATGGGCTTGATCATTCTTACGTCTATAAATGTTTAGTTCTTATCGAACGGATAATGTGAGCACCATAGCTTGTGGATTGAGCTATTTCTTGTATTCTCGTTTTGATCGTATAGTTGCTTTTGTAGAACCGCGCTTGAGGGCGACGTAGAGAGATGGATCCGAATGAAGTTAGACAGCGAGCAGGTGAAAGGCCATCCCAACCAGATAGGGTTTCAATGAAACAGGGCCAAGATAGAGAGGTGAATGATAATCCACAAGTACCGGTGGACGATATCTTAATAGCAAGGGCTATAGCCTCAGCCTTTCAGAATTTAGCGAGTACCACAACTCCTTAAGTGGTACCACAACTGGCTATTCAGCCATAGGAGACGGGGATGGAGTGGAATCTTCGGTACCTTTTTCAGTTTAATAAACTCATGAAAGTAACATTTGAGGGAAGTCCAGACCCGTTAGTTGCAGACAACTGGCTTGATGAGGTTGAAAAGGATTTCAAGGCAATAGCCATACCCAATGATCGGTTAAAGATCACCTTAGCCACGTATAAGTTTGTTAGCGACGCGGCGGTATGGTGGAAGACCATGACTAGCGCACATGATATTGATAGTATAAGTTGGGATGCATTCAAAAATCTTTTCTTTGATAAGTATTTCCCGCAAACCAAGAGACGGGAGTTGAGGACGCAGTTTGACGGACTAGAACAAAGTGGCATGTCAGTGATAGAATATGAGAATAAGTTCACTTCTCTTTCACGTTTCGCTATGGATGTGTTAGGGAATGAGGAGGAGAAGACATGACGTTTTGTGTACGGCCTAAATCGTTTTATTAGGCCAGGCGTGACACTTTTAGGATTAAAGAATTATTCGAAAGCAGTTATAAGAGCACTGATGGTAGAAGCAGAAGCCAAAGATTAGCAAGAAATGTGTGGTATTGTGGATTCTCAGGAACGAGGTACGAGTTTGGGTACTTCTTCCGGGAGCCAAGGTAGGAAGAGGCACAAAGGTGCTTCATTGTTTTCTCAGGAGTAGCAAACGGCAAGTGTTACTCCTATTATTGGTGCTTCTTCAGGGTCCTTTAGGATGAGTTTGGTGTGTTACCATTGTAGACAACCAGGACACCACAAAGCGGAGTGTCCTCTTGATAGACCTAACTTCGGAGTTTGTTTTTGGTGTGGTCAGCTGGGCCACATGAAGAGGGATTGTCCACAGAGGAGATGAGATATTACTATGATTGATTATGTTGTAACGGGGGGTTACCTGTGAGTTTTGTAACGGAGGATACATGTGAGTCTTGTCGTGTTATAACAAGGGATACCTGTGAGTCATGTTGTGTTGTAACAGGGGACACCTATAAGTCATGTCGTGTTGTAACGGGGGACACCTGTGAGTCGTGCTGCATGATTGTCTATAAGTCTGGTGCAATACCCCTAGTTTCAAAAGGATAGTTCTGGTATTTCAATTACTGATTAAATGCATATTTATTTGTTTAATAGTTTAATTGCTTGTTATTTTAATTAATTGGGTTTTAATTATTTAATTGACTTAATTGTATTTGTGAATTTTGAATTAATTGTATTAATTAAATTCTTGGATTTAAATTGTTTCATTGTGTTAAATAATTATGTAATTGTTTTATTTAATTAGTGCTTTAACTTGTTAATCATGTATTTAAATTTCATTACTTGATGTGTTGTTTTAATTAAATTTATATTTAAATGTTTTAAGTATTAACGTGACGGGATTAATTTTGTGTCACGTATAGTTATAAATTAGGTTTTGCTCTATGAGCCGAGTAAGTCAGTTTAGGGTTTGATTGAACTTAGGATTAGTTTGGCCTATAAATATACATATAAGGTTCTGCCAAGGGTTTTAGAACCCTACTCATGACTGTGGAGGCAGAGGGAGAACAGAGGAGGTTTTCAGTAAGGATTACCAGAAACCTTAGGACGACGGCATTAAGATTTTGAACCAAAGTCTTACAGGCAAGTTCCAATCCTAACTCTTTTCCTTTGGTTCGTGTTCTTTGCATATCTAATACAACTCTAGGAATAAATAAGGATTAAAATTAAACTAGATTTCATGTCTTCGATGTTTTAAACTGAACGTAGTCATAAATTGTGAACTATTTGTTTTAGATTCGTTTTTGTGTAACTCATAATTTTATTCATGTACATTGATGTATAATGATGTTAATTAGTCTGGAACACGTTGGGAACCACTGGAAGTAATCTAGGTTACAGGGTTGAGTGTTTTAAACAGTGAGTGTTAAGGAATGAATAATTGCTCGTTCTAACTTCTTGTTGCATAATTGGTGTCTCAATTGATGTTGGCGAATGAATAAAGAATTAAATTGTTTTTGGATCACACTGGAGCCTAGTTTAAACACCTAGGTATCTTAGGAATAAATGACAGTCCGTCGGAAAACCGCCAAAGTTGAAAGAGACAGTATCAGGAGGAGAGCCGGCTCCCGTTAGAGGTGGCTCCTTTTAAAAAGGATTCGGCTCCATTTAAAAAAAAGGAGGCAGCTCTTTTTTTTAAAGAGCCTGCTCCATCCATTTTTTTTTTTTTTTTTTCGTTTTCTTTTTAGTTTTCTTTTGTGTTCCAGCGATTCTGTTGCTTTGGGGCTTAATTCTTGAAGGTAACAGGTTCAGTACAAGCTGTGTTGGGAGTAGTCAGAGAGGTTCTAAGTTCTATTAAAACTTCAATGAATAGGCTAATGAAAAATTAAACCAAATGGGCGTTTTTGCTTATACCTAGACAAATTTAAAATAAGCTGGACTACGGTTCATGGATGTAAAGGAGTTTAAATTGCTAAGTTTTAGTACAGCAGTTTTCAGTGATGGATTACAGTTAATATGTTTCAATAATCTCATATAAGTATGAAAATGTACAGGTTTCTGTTCGTCTTGATGACTATACTTGAACAGCAGGTAATTTTAATAAATTAGTTTACTGTTTCTGGGAGGAAAGGATTTGAAATTGCTTAATCTTAGCATAACAATTCTCATTGATGGTTTTGTAATTATTTAGGTTCCAGTGTCTTGAAAACTAAGCCTGTGAAGATTATATACTCTGTTGTGCTTACTTAAAATAAATTGGTTTATATGTATATCCTGTATAATTAATTATTGGATCTTGGAAAGCAGTATGTATAAGCCTGTTAAACTATAAGATTTTATCATGCTTAATATGGTACAATTGATGCCTATATTTAATATAATATTATCAATTGTGGACTTATGCAATAGTTGGTATTTACTTATATATTTGTATTGTCAACTGCTGAATGTTGGATTACATGCACCGGTATGGGACGGTGGCATGCCTAGGTTTGGATTAGTTTCAAAATACTAAATCCTACTTACACGGAATAAGGGAATGAATTCTAAATAAATCTTATACAAAAGTCAAAGAAGCTGCACAAGCTGAATGACTAACTGAATTGCTTGTTATCTATGTTAAGTCAAAGAAGCTGCACAAGCTGAATGACTAACTGGATTTCTTATGGATGGATAGGATAGGACTTTAAATATATTTTTATGGTACCGCGATATGAGCTTGAGTCTCAGAATCGACGGTTAGGGAGTGTATATGCAGTAGGATGTATAGCTGGCTATGTTGGTTGAGGTATACCCTATTAGGCTTAGGTAGTCATGCCCACTCAGGTGCGTTTTACATATTGCCTTCTACTCAGGTTGAAACCCTCATCATAGTCCAGTGAGAGTCCCATAGTGTGGATATATATATATATATATATATATATATATATATATATATATACGGATTATGTAGCTATTGTTGAGTTGGTTAGAATGTATATGCGTATCGAGTCTCTACTTGGATTGTAGTATGATAGAACTTATTTGTGGGCCTGACCCATTTCTGTTTTTCAGGTACTCGTCAGTTCCAGACTTAGACCTGATCGTGCTGAGCAGAGACTACTACTCACTCTTTCGACGACGTAGGACTTTTCTCCATGGTTTAACTTTGGCTATCTTTTAGCTATTTATGTTTCAGTTTGGATTTTGGTATTAGGGGTCCAATGAATGGATTCCCGAGTTGTTATCTATTGGAGGTTTTGGAATTTTAAGTATTTAATGAAAAAGGATTGTCTTTTAGATTTCTTTCGGCTATTAATTATTTATTTCTGAATTCATTTTGTAATCTGTGTTTGTTTTAAATATTAATTGTTTGATATTCCCTCGGGTTCGGGGCTTGGGCCTGATCAACCCGTGTCACAAATCCGAGGGTTATCACATCTGGTGTAGTAATGGGGGCTACCTGTGATTGTTGTAACGGGGGATACCTGTGAGTTTTGTAGCGGGGGATACCTGCGAGATTGGGTGTGATAGGAGATGCCTGCACACTATTGTTTTGGTAACGAGGGCTACCCGTGAGTTTGGGCAGAAGCTTGTACACTTTGTGCAGTGTCGGGTTCATCTGTGCCAGGATGGTGGACATATCCCATAGTGTGGTTCCGGACTGGACGATGTTGATGATGCTTAGTGTGAGCCCTTGGGGCAGGATGTAGATCGAGAGGTTTTGTATGAGTTTTAAGTTGTAATGATGTACCAGTTGTGACTGTTATGTATTAAGGCAATGATGTATTTGTAAGACTATAGGAGTATTCCAAAACAGTTTTATTGGATTATGATGTGTATTTTGTGAGCAGTTGAACTCTTATGTAATGGTTTTAATGATGGATTAATGACAGAAGGGTTTTATCCATGTTTTGTTAGGGACCATGGGTTTGATCTAGATCATCCGACTTACCTCCGCGGCAAGAGGTGAAGTCTTGGGTTTCGAAGGATTCGTTCCGAGAGGTTATGATCGATGCGGCATAAAACATGACTTGTTTACCGGTGTATACGTTTTCTTAGGACCTTGGAGTTAATAGTTATGATATGACTTGTGTGTTGAGGATGGTTAGACCGTGTGTTATAAGCTATGTGTCTAGAGTTAGACGTAAGGATTGATGTATGTGTATGCTTGAGGATTAGACCTGAAGACAAGAACGATGTTGATGTTGAGGTTGGATCAACGATGGGAATGGCCTGGCCAACCATTTCTCCGAGTCAGTCTTTCCTTAACATAATGTCGAGTTAAAGGTCAACGATCATTGCTTTTAGTGTGATTAGTGATAGTCATAGTATGGTGTTTTGCGTTATGTACGTTTGGATGTACGATCCCGTTTTAGAGCTAATCTTGTTTGGGATTGATGGTATTCTTTGTATGTGTTCAGGTGACTTGTCATGGATGGTTGTGTACTTGGTACGAGATTACGTGTCCAAGAAGTTTCAATTGTTGGTTCAGTTAATCCTTGAGCTATGCTGACGGGTTGTTTTCCCGAGTACCTGATGATACATTTGACAGGTTAGATGGTTCTCTTGATTATAATCGTGGGTGTTCAGCTATGATGTAGTTGTTAAAGGCAGTAGTCATCAGAAATAGTTTTAAAGGTATTTTTGGGATAGCAAGTGAAGCTCGTATATTAGCTCGTTGAACGGTTTTGTAACCACTATTTTGTGGGCTTTAGGGTATTTGGCGCGGATTGTGTGAGGCGCTGCTGGTTGGATCTACCATGTATGGGATCCGACCGCTTTCTGGTGGGATGTCTCGTGTGGACCATGTTAGTGCGATTTTATGTATTGGACGGGTTTTTAACCAGGGTTAAGTGTGGAAGTAGATGGTTGAGTGTCGTGGTGACTTTGATTAAGGGATTATTTTCGTGATGCGTGTTATCGTGTGGGTTGACTGAAGCTGTCATTAGCAGAGTTGGTATCGACTAACGGTATGTTCTGGTTAGAAGGATGACTATCTTAATGGTTCTCTGTGGTTAAGATTCAGTGGAGTCGCAGAGTTCGGTTGGGGGCTTATGCCTCGCGTGCTTGTAGGTGACGGTAGAGAGTTTTATTCGGCATTGCGGTGCCTTTTTCGTTCAGTTAGTTGTAGTAGGGGATGAGATTACGTGTGACCATGGTTACTGTTCGGTCATTGTTACGTTAGGTCACTAGCACAGGGTCGTGAGTGACGCAGGATGTGAGATCCTTTGGATAGGGGTTTTGAGATATAGCGTGTTGCGTGGGGTGCTCGGAGACGTTCTCCGTTTTTGCATCTTTTCGTCTTTCTCTTATAAGGTGAGTTGATTTCGGAGACAAAATCTTTTAAAGTTGGGGAGATTGTAATGTTACCAATTTTTTTTATTTTTTTTTTTCTGGAATTTATTTGATTTTTCTAGATTATTTCAATCCTGACCTTGTTTTGCGTGTCACGCTGGTCTCGAGGGTCATTTTGGTCATTTTCATGAGCCGAGGGTTTTGGAAAATTTTTTTTAATCATTTTAAGTCAATTGGAAGAGACAGTATCATTTTTTAGAATTTTTCAGAAGCCTGACGATTTTCGGACTCGAAAACTTATCCCGATTTTCTCATTTAAGTGGATGGCATTGTGGTCTTTTTACACATTTATGCATACACCTATCCTTACATTGTATAAGATATTTATTGGGACATAGAGGAAGTTTCAATGGTTATAGATGGGCAAAAGAGTAACTAACCATAAAGTGTAAATCATTCACATGGTGACAAGTGGCAAGTAATTGATCACAAGGTCAATTGTTGACCAAACTATTTCCTCTTTTCTTTCCTTCAGCCGGCAGAATACTCCCTCTCTCTCTAACCCCTCATTTTCTCACTCTATATCCATCTTTATGCAATAAATGTCTTCCACATTTTAAGCTTGTTTTTAGAGTGATTAAAGTGAGATTTTTATGAAGCCATAGGTAAGGAAGTTGATGAGTTGAGGAGAGCTTTTAATTGAGACCAATCTTGCAAGGGGCTAGGAATTTCGAATTTGGGGGCTGTTTTGAAGATCTTGCTTGGTTGAGGTAGGGGTTGTACTAAGCCTTAATTTCCTTTGTTTCTTGTGAATTAGCTCTCTTTAAATTGAACCACTAAGTGACTAGAATTGAAGTTGGTTTACAAGTATGTTATGTAGTTGAAATCTAAATTTTTTAGCTTATATAGTAATGATGTGTTATGTGCTTTAAATGTTGAAATTGAGTCCCTTCAATTGTTGATTATATTTTGTGCACAAAACTGAAATTTTGTAATCACGATGGTGATATTGTTGTTGCTAAAAAAAAAAAAAAAAAAACTGAAAATTTCATGTTCAATGTACCTCAAATTTGGAACTGTTTTGTTGTAAATATTCTTATGGCCATATGTGCCTAAATGCTGAAATTTTTAACTTCTATCTAAATGTTGCATAGCGTGCTTTACGAACCGAATTTGAGCTTCTTGGTTGTTGATTGTCTTGATGTGCATAAACTGAAAATTTTAGTAATTTTAATGGTTGGGTTGTTGTAATTTATAGAACTGAAATTTGATGTTGGAAATGATATAACATTATGAGACTATGAAGTATGTCATTCATGCATTACATTGGGTACTACTTGGGGTTTTGTTGAAATGGAGGATGTTATGTTTTGAAAAGAAAGCAAACTGATTTTTTTTTTGGAAAAATGATTGAGGCGTTGGATGAAATTTTGAAAGTGGGGAGAGACATTGGCACTTCATTAGCATTGCATTCCATTACAATCATGAGATTGCATTATGTAACGATTATTACTTTCCGAACACGCATTACCCTTTTTCTTGTCGCTATTCTTTATTTGGATTCACGAAGGCGTTAAGGAGTGCGTTTTAGGCATCTTTTGCTGAGCCGTTGTGCTCACTCCTTACTACTATTTTTCAGGATACGGAAAGGAAGAGGCGGAAGACATTTCCCCACAGGCTTAGACAAGACTTGACAGACTTTCTTGTGTTAATTTTCTATTATATATACAAGTTTTGTAAAACTTTAAACTTGTTTTGTATCTCTATCGTAAGCTTATGTTTTGGGACTGTAATCGGATGTATTGTTTCATGTAAATGAACTTTTGGTTTTTCGTCTATGTGTGTGATCATGATATTACCATTATAGATGCATGTGGTGACTGTTGTGGGACAAAGTTAGCCTTTAGTATGGCTCACAAACAGCAACGGACCCAGCATGGGACCGGGGCGGGGGGGGGGGGGGGGTCGGATGACCCCCCTAGATTTTTTTTTTTTTTTTTTTTAGCATTTTATACTTTAAATTTTTGATAATTTATGAAGATGTCCCCATTAAAATTAGAATTTGCCCCACCGATTTTTTTTATTTTTTATTTTTTATTTTATAATTTAAATTTTTAAAAATTTATGAAAGAAACCCTATTAAAATTACAAAAATAGACCCATCATATAATTTTGTACCCACAAATTAAAAGGGCGCCCCCCTCACAAAATTTTCTGTGTCCGTCACTACTCACAAATGAGTTTGGAAATTGTAAAACTTTAGAATCCGTATTTCAGTTTTCAGATTTGGTATGATGTGTTCCCTTATAGTTTAGAATTGGAAATGATTGTAGTGATAGTAGATGACATCGGGTTCAAGTAAGGATCTGAATATAGTTCAGACCCCTGAATTCGGGTCGTTACAATATCCCTTACTTTATCCATTGCAAGGAATGCCTATTTTGAGTAATGGAATTCACAACATTCATTAAAAAAAAAAAAAAAAAAAAAAAAAAAAAAAAAACAATAAGTTATTTTGGGGAGCTTGAGTGTTCAAGGTGATGATGACCAATTAGAGATTTTAGTTTCCTGATAAACATGGAAGACAAAATGGAAGAATCTAGTAGCAACTTCAGCTGGCCGGTGGGCATTAGCCCTAAAGAAAAGGTTTAGTGTTCGAGCCCTGCGTTTGAACTTTTGAGAAAAACACAAAAAAACTTCAGCTCACATGCTTGCATCACAATCATCATTCCCATGAAAGATGTGCAACTTGCCGGCAAAATATGCAAATCATACTAAGGATTACAGCAGTTCATGAGTTTTTAAACACACGTTGATCCATATCCTACGCAAAAACACAACGATCCATATCCTAGCCAGTGCCTACACGTGTAGCGAGTTACCATGGGAACCATGGGAAGCCCGAGAACCATCTTCACTTTACAAGGAGGGTTCTTCAAAGTGATTCCAGCTCACGACATTCGCTATCTCAGCACATCAAGCCTTGAAGTTGAAAGTTGAAATACAGGCAACGTACTGAATTAAGGTTTGGGGTTATGGATATAGTAATATTATTTACAAAAAATGCTTATTCAAGTAATTAATGTTTCAATGCAAAATAAAATTGACCAAATAAAATTGGAGTGTAACCTCATACACCTTGTAACATTTCAGGCCCAAATTAGATCCACTGAAATTAACTAGCAACTGAATATCAAAGTTTACAAGATAAAACCATTCAAAAAAAAAAAAAAAAGTTTACAAGATAAATGCATCAATTACGACCACACACGAAGATCATGGACCGACATCCATCCAATGCCTTTGCAATGGTTATTCATGCCCCCCTCGGTTAGATGGGACTCTTTGATAAATTTATACATCCAATTGATTTAACTCCACCTGCATAAATGTTACAAAGATCAATGATATACATAATACATAAAATGATTAAAATCTGCATCCAAGATTATCTTTATGTAAAAGAAAAAAAATGCTTACATTATTTTTCAGTACATAATGCTATCTATCTAACTATATATATATATATATAAATATATATAAGTTAGTACTGCATTCAAGATGTGTTGGGGTTACAAAAGTTAAGGTCAGTAACAAAGGGAGCATCAAGACACCAAACCATCTAATGCAATCACGCTTACAATGACATTATGTTTTTCATCTGATGAATCATTTCGTTTTTCTACTGTAATTATAAGTCCATCGTCGCGCATTATGTGATGCCTTTATAGGTAGTCCAGTTACCTGGTTAAAAAACGAAAACCAATGCTGAATTCAGCACTCTATAAAACCTCAAAATGCAAAAGATCTGATTATATTGTTGTTAAAATAAGGGAATCTGCAATTCATATCTTGAGAGGATTTGCAATTCTATTATTATCTGGTCTCACTTATCTGTTTTAGGAGCTCTTTGGCAACATAAAAATATTGATCAGGTACCCCTATCGTTTATCTAGTTAGATAGCTTAACAAGGTTACTCATTTTTTCTTCGCTGCTCTCTTCAGTGCAGAAAGTGAAAAATAAGGATGGAGGATCCTTCAATACTTTACAATAGCATCTATTTTTGAGGATGTTGCATCTAATTGGTTTTGAAAAATATAATCATTTCTCACAAAGGCTATTGCCAAATCTCAAAATCAGTTATTTTGTCACATTCTGATGGCTTAACACATCAGTGCAGGAAGTGGAGATACAGATGGAAGATCCTCTATACTACACACTAGAAGCTATTCAAGAGAACATCATATAGATATGATTTTATATATATATATATATATATATATATATATATATAATTGGCTTGTAGAATATATTCATTCCAAGCAAAGATAATCTACATCAGTTATTTTCTCAAGCTGAAAGAATGTATCAGCAACTAGCAAATGACAATAAAATTATTAAGCGAACTCACTGATAAATTTGCAAGTGGTGTTGTTTTGAAATGAATCTGCTTCTAGTGTCATATTCTTGATGAGACATTAAACCATATGTCTTTAATCCTAAAAAGATTATTTAATCTATCTTCAAGAGTTGTAACAAAAATGTATGGATAGCACATAACTGTTCACTCGTGTGCTGGTCATCTGCAATACGAAGCAAAGACGAGGTACGAAGTCCATTAAGGAGCAGAACCCTTCTTTTTTTTTGATAAATAAAAGTGTATTAGAGAGCGTTCAAAAGGAAAAAGCGTCCCAAGAGCTATACAAGGGCCGAGGCCAAATAGAGAGTCCTATGGACCCAAAGAACCCCAAAAATCCACGAATTCATCTAATGATATACAATTTCTCCCCATTACCCAACTAAAAAGAGAATTAATAATAGAGAATTTCAGCACCCCATTGTAGGATTCCTCCCCATCAAAAGATCTTTTATTCCGCTCTATCCAAATACACCACCAAACACAAAAGGGGGGTGGCCCTCGAAAACTCACGGGCTTGGGCCCCCACATTGTAGCCTCTCCAAACGTCAATCAAATTCCTTGAAGACCAAGGCATAACCCAATGAACACCGTACACCCAAAAATAAGACTCCAACAGTAATAAGGAGTCCAACCTTATAAGGAAAACTCTAACCATCATGTTGTTTTAGAAGATGTAAGTACATTATTTTCCTTTTTTTGTTGGACACATGTCTAAACCCCTAGTCTACAATCTCCATCTTAATTATAAGTTTCAAAATTTCTCTCTTTTTCCCACTTTTTCCTACCCACACTTTCAAAGCTTATAATTACCAAGTGTTGCAGTTGTTGGTCACTTCCAGGGACATTGGAGGACAACCCTAATACCCAATACCCATATACCTGTGGGTGTCATATAAATCGTCACTTTGCTTCTTTGTCGCCCTGGCAATCATCAATCCATTTTTCCTTCTTTTACTTCAAAGTTCAAGCTCACTCGCTAGTTTGGTTCCGAATAAGATTTAGTGTCTTGTTTTGCTAAAACATTAATACCATTCACTTATCAGGAACCTCATCCCCTAAATAATGGCTTCTAATTATCACCCAAGTAATGGCTTCTAATTATCATCTAAATAATGGCCTCTAAACATAATTTTTAGCAAAGCAAGTAATTTGTTAACATCTAACCATATGACAGGGCACCAAATTGTTGGCATCTTTGATTGAATCAACAACAGTAATTGGCAGAAGTTAATTCAATAAATACCCAAAATGACATAAAACTTAACAATAACACTGTTAAGACAATGTAAAACCACACATAGTGATGCAGAAAAAAACACTTACTACCAACATAGTTGAAGATACCCATTCCGGAGGTGGCCAAAACAGCTTGGAGATACCCGGACAATCTGCTAAGGGCTCAATACTAGCTCTCTCTAAATCAAACACACCCATACCACGAGTCTTCATTACATTATCTCCCCCCTCCAAGGAATTATCTGTAAAGAGTATGCAATTCCCTACACATCCAGGAAAATCAGAAGTTGACACCGAGAAAGTGCAATTATCACCCAAAAACAACATTTGATCCCCCAAACTTTTCAACTCAACCCACCTCTGTCCGTCTCTATCAAACTTGAAAACTTTAAACCGAACCGTCCTCTCAATAATATAGCAATTGAATTCATCACCCTCCAATCCTTCAAAACCCTCAACGTTACCCAAATCATCTTCAGGTCCCAAACTCAAATACATATCAACCAACAACAAATCACCACATGACTCCACCAAGAGCTTCTTGTCCCCACCAAAAACCGAATTCGCAACCAAACTCACACTCGGAGACGAATCAACATCAACAACCACAGTCCTTCCCGTACTGTCCACAGCATAGAACTGCCCTTCAAAGAGTATCACATCATCATAAGGCGAAGTCAATTCGCTAATGACAGTCCATTTAGGGTCACCAGACTTGAACAAAACTAGTCTCCCAGAAACATGTATTGTCAACAACACAAACCCATCAACCAGCGAATGCAATGCCACCTTTTCCATATACAGATTGCCCGCATCACCGATCGAATTCGCAAAAGGCCGATAATTTATGTGCTGAAGAACATACTCGTGCCCTAATTCAGAAACCCTAAATTTGGAGTGATCGAGAATTCTGGGGAAATTTGTGGGCAGTGGTTTGAATTCGAATCTGGAGAGAGGATTCAAAAGGTGCATCCGATGAGGAACGTCCTGTTCTAGCTTGATCAACCAGGCGTCGGAGGGTAGTGTTTGGCCACTGGGTTGGGGCAATCCGAGGCGGAAAATGGTTCGTTTGGAGAGATAGAAACCCCAACTGGTGTCTGAAATTCCATCGTTTGGAAGAATCGGGAAACGGGAAGGAGTTGGATGGGTGGTTTCGGGGGAGAGAGAGGAACGCCATGAAGAACAGACGGATCGGAATCGGAGAAGATCGGTTTCGGAATTAAGGTGTTTTGAGATTAGGTTTAGGAGTTCCGTGGGTAGTTGAGACCATGTGGCCATTGTTGAGACTGATACTGTACCTTGTGGAGTAAAGAAAGAGCACAAAAACGAAAATGGGAGAAGATGGAGAATATAAGCTGGTTAGACAGGAATGGAATGGAAGGATCTTATAGTTGTAATTCCGTTTGGCGTGTCCTTTTTAAAAAGTGGAATGGTGATTTTATTTATATGAAAATGTTAAATTTTGAAAAATTGTGCTATTATTTTTGTCAAATCAAAATACGATTGCTAATATAGATAGGTATGCTGTTGAAATGAGAAAATATATTTGGTAAATTTATTTTTTATTTAAATTTGACTTTTTAATTTACTATTTAAATATAATTGAAAATTAATAAAATAATAAAATTGACTATTTATTTATTATTAGAGTATAATTGAAAAATAATAAAATTGATTCTTTATTTACTATTAGAGTATAATTAAAAAATAATAAATTTGACTCTTTTATTTACTATTAGAGTACAACTAAAAATAATAAAATTATATTTTATTTACTATTTAAGTATAATTGAAAATTAATAAAATTGACTCTTTTATTTATTATTAGAGTATAATTTAAAAATAATAAAATAATATTGTATATACTATTCAAGTATAATTGAAATATAATAAAATTGACTCTTTTATTTATTATTGGAGTATAACTAAAAATAATTAAATAATATTTTATTTACTATTTAAGTGTAATTGAAATATATTAAAATAATAAAATTGACTCTTTTATTTATTATTGGAGTATAACTAAAAATAAGTAAATAATATTTTAATTACTATTCAAGTGTAATTGAAATATAATAAAATTATAAAATTGACTCTTTTATTTACTTATAATTGAAAAATAATAAAATAATATTTTTCTAATTGTGAAAAATAATAAAATAATAAATAATACTTTATGTTCCATAAAACTTGTCCACATTGGATACCTTTAATTTGAAAACCAAAGTTTCGTTTTAGAGTTGTGGGAATTGTGAAGGAAATGACAACTATAACAATTTCGAAAACTTTATTTATTATTTTATTGTCATTTTTAAAACTTTACCAATCAGATATGGAATGCACATTCCATTACCACCCATTCCCATTCATATATATATATATATATATATATATAAATAACCATTGCCTAAGTTTCAGACCTCTCTCATGGTTTTCTCTCTCCTCCTCCAACTAGCCCATATCTCTCTCTTTTCACTCATATGAATATATATAGGGAAAAAATCACATAATTCCTTGTACTATTATTTTTGTCCAAAAAAATCCATGAAAATTGAACACCCCCCTCAATTATAAAAGGTCATCAAGTTGTTCCCAAATCAGTATAAAATGACAAAACAACCCTTATAATTTGCGATACTCCTCGATTTTAGAGCCACAGGTGATCAAGTCCGAGCACAGATTTGAGGGATACCAAACAATTAAGTATGTAAATGAACACAAAATACAAAAGAAATAATTAAGAATAAATAAAATAGCAGAAAATAAAACTAAGCAACAAATCCTCCAAATGAATTTTCCAAAACCTTTAATTATCATTACAACTCAAGAAGCCATCTAGTAGACTCCTAATGATATACCAACTGAATTAACTGAAAATAACTATAATTTGAAACTAAAACATAAAGAGAGTCTTACATAAAACCGAAAGAATGATGTGGACTGTCTCTGCTCAGCACAAACAAACTTTATGTCTGGAACTAATGAGCACCTGAAAAATAATAATAGTGGGTCTGACCCACGAACAAATTCTTTCTACAACAACCCAAACAGAGACCGGCGAAACTATATATGTATAGCTAACCCATGCAATAACTAAGTAGTCCGTATATATATATATAGATACACACTAAAGGAACCTCACTAAATTATAAGGTTATCTCAACCTAAATAGTAGGTAACATGCAAAACGCACATATAGTGGGTATGAGTACCTAGACCTACCAGGGAAACAACTACACTATATCTAACTACACATCCTTGGCAATATATATACCTTAATCATGATCCTGAGACTCAAACTCATATCATGACACCATAATTATATATATATATATATATATATATAATCCAATATAATTAATCCTCTACAAATAATATTCTATAAGTCATTCAACTTGTTCAGCTTGTAACGACCCGAACGCGTAGGTCCGAACCGTTAGCCGGGTCCTTAACCGAACCCGAGGTCAACTAGGGACAACACCATTCCTTCCTACGTCAATACATATTATACGTGTCATTCCGAGTTTATAAAAAAAATAAGTAATAAATAATAATAATAATAATAATATGATACTATAGTTACAAAGTATGTCAAAACGGTCTACTAACCCATCGAATCCTATGGAGGAATGTCGTCCCCCATTTGCTATTCGTGTCCTGAAAAATATTAAATATAAGGGGTGAGCAAATTACTCAGCAGGTGGTGTCTAAGATACACCTCTTGTGACCCCGTGAATCCATACAATGAATAGAAATAGGAAGCGGGGTCATACTATGCCAGGAGGGAACACAACATTAATTTCAATTCCAAAAGAACAACGCCGTGCCATGAATGTAATGCTATGCATGTCACTCCCCATTTTCAGAAAAATATCCATCACTTCACAAGCTGTTAATATAACCCGCCCTTTGGTAACTCCGCAGCGACACGAGAGAAGGATTGGCTACTGTTCCTGACCTTTGGTACCTCCGCAGCGTCATTTGGGACCCAGATAGCTCAACCACGCTAGGGCAGTCTCCCTAATTCCCTCTAGGCTATATTAACACACCGGCCCTTTGGTGACTCCATGGCGATCGGGTTTTCTTAAAAACACTTTAATCAAATCATTTCCCCAAAAATCTCTTTTTCCATTTGTTTCAAGTCATTTTACTCTTTTTCTATGCCCAATGCTATGAATGTATGTCACATGCTTGTCATTACTATGAAAATAAATTTCCACTACACAATTTTACATACTTCCACATAGCAATTTCTAGGAAGGTCTTAAACATCATGGCATGGAAATTTACATTTAGGCATGTTTTTCATACAATTTAATTAATACACATAATCATAGATTTCATTTACAAGAATAAAATCATTTTCAAGGCAATCAATTCAAATTAAGCATGTTAATTTGCACAATATCAACTACACACAAAATCGTATACTTCATATACACAATTAAATCACTTTAGAGTAAAATCAACACAAATTAGCATACTAGGACACTAATTAAATAAAATTAATTCACAAAGGTGCAAGATTTTGTGGATTAGAGACCCCTACTCTGAAAAAGAAAATTTTCCTCATTGGATCATCAAACCTCACGCCTCATACCTTCGGCCCTCATCTGTAGCTCGGCTCCTCTCTGTACCTTTTTAAAACTCTCGACCCTCCTCTGTGTTTCCGCTATTTTACTCTCTCTCAAACTTCTCTAATTTTTTCTCTCTTAGTATGCTCACAAGGTCTCTCTCAACATGCTCACATGGTCACAATGCAGACACCATAATATATAGGCCATAATCCACCAACACTCAACAAAATATCACATTAGTGTACACCATACGCCTCCATCGACATCATTTCATCAGATTCAATAAGCAACATCAGCCCAACATCAGCAACCCACGTGAAGAAAAAGCAAAGTCAAGAAATTTTAGGCCAAATAAATATTCAAAAAGATGTCAGACGATATCATCACTTTTATGGCCCCAAATATCTGCCTTTACTTTTCAGCCAACCCGCACCCTTTTTCTCTTTTTCGACATCACATCACACCACACAATATACATTACACACACTGTAAAAGTACTACAACAGCCCACGTGCAAAATAAAATAAAAATCAGACCAAAAGAGTTTTGCCCAAGTAAAATCACTGTGGGCCCGTTAGTACGCATTACCATTATCAAATCCTCTTTTTCCCTTCCACTCAATTCGTCCACCTTCCTTCATCATCTGATGCTACAAATATATATATATATTTTGATATGGTGCGGGTCCCACTTGTGATTATTAATTGGTTGAATTGCTTTTGTTATATATATATATATATATATATATATATATATATATATATATATAACAAAAGCAATTCAACCAATTAATAATCACAAGTGGGACCCGCACCATATCAAAATTTCTTTCCATTTCTTTCTTTCTTCATCTCGGCTGGTGGACCATTCCTTACTCCATCAATAATCAATTCCTTTAGTACCTAATATATATATATACACACACATGACTAATGAAACTCCATTCAAAATCCAACAACTAAATAAATAAGTAATACTAATTTACTAAAAACAAACACCGATAACTAAAATAACCTCACACAATAAATCTTGACAACTAAAAATGATCAAAATAAAATAAATTAAAAATCTTAAAATCCGGGTTGTCACAATCTCCACCACTTAAAAAGAATTTCTTCCTCGAAATTCAGATCCAACAGCCTTCGCATACCCGAAAATACCAATAACCACAAACTAAAATCAAAATCCTTACCCCAGGCAATATGAGATACTGTGGTATTTAGGACGTTGCGATAGCTGCTAGTACTAGTCACCCGCCCACACACTCCGTAACCATTGTGGTAGCTAGTTAATGCGTCACCCGCCAACTAAAAATAAACAATAACAAATCTGGGGTACTTGCCCAAGCACACTAACTAACCATCTCAGTAGCTGCCAGTGAATGCCATTCGCCCACACACACCCGGCTAAGAGTGGTAGCTAACCAGTAATACACATTCGCCCACTCACACCTGTCTACATCATCACTGCACTCACACTTCCGACTGGGTACAAGCTAATGAAATCCTCAATTCATTCAAATATAAATACGTCACTATAATCCCGTTATTATAAGAAAAATGTCTTCTTTTATACAAAATCAATTTCCTCAAATATGTACAAAATTCCCCAAATAAATAAATTAAATCTCGCAATGCCAACTCATCTACCTAAGCCCGAAACTAGCAATCCACGTTCATCTTCGGTACCTGAAACTGGAAGATGGTGAGACGGAAAATCCTAGTAGGGAAAACCATAACAAGAATTTCGATAATCAATGATCGTATTGCAAACCCTTTATCAGACACATGGTTCTACCTAACACACCTCGTCACCCGAGACAAACC